ACTTATATGCAAACAAATTCAACAACCTAGAAGTGATGGACAAATTCCTAGAATGATACAATCATCCAAAGCTGGACAAAGAAGAAATAAAACAACTAAACAGACCAATTACAAGCAGCAAAACTGAGGCAGGAATCAAAGAACTCCCCAAAAACAAAAGCCCAGGCCCAGACAGCTTCACAAATGAATTCTACCAAACATTCAGCAGTGAATTAGTGCCTATCCTACACAAAAATTCTTTCAAAAAATTGAAAAGGAAGTAATACTACCAAATACATTCTACAAAGCCAACATTACACTAATACCAAAACCAAACAAAGACAGCACAAGAAAAGATAATTACAGGCCAATCTCCCTAATGAACACTGATGCAAAAACCCTCAACAAAATCCTTGCCAACAGAATCCAACAATGCATCAAAGGGACAGTACACCACGATCAAGTGGGATTCATCCCAGGGGCACAAAGATGGTTCAACATACGAAAATCAATCAGTGTAATCCAACACATCAACAAAAAGAAAAATAAAAACCATATGATCCTATCAATAGATACTGAAAAAGCATTTGACATAGCTCAACTTCCATTTATGATGAAGGGCCTTGAAATTCTCAGGATAGAAGGAACATACCTTAAAGTGATAAAAGCCATATACGACAAACCCACTGCCAATATTATTCTCAATGGCGAAAAGCTGAAGGCCTTTCCTTTAAGATCAGGAACAAGACAAGGATGTCCTCTCTCACCACTGCTCTTCAATATAATATTGGAGGTCCTAGCCAGGGCAATAAGACAAGAGAAAGACATACAAGGAATCCAAATAGGGAAAGAAGAAGTAAAACTATCACTATTTGCAAACAATATGTTACTATACATGGAGAACCCTAAAAACTCCACAGAAAAACTACTCAAAATGATCAACCAGTTCAGTAAAGTAGTAGGATACAAAGTCAACACACAAAAATAAGTAGCCTTCCTATACACAAACAATCAATTTTAAGAAGAAGAAATCAAGAAAACCATCCCTTTTATAATTGAAACAAAAAAAAAATCAAATACTTGGGAATAAACCTAACAAAAGAGGTGAAAGACCTATACAAAGAAAATTATAAAATACTGTTAAGAGAAATTGAAGAAGACACAAAGAAATGGAAAGACATCCCCTGCTCATGGATTGGAAGAATTAACATTATTAAAATGGCCATCATCCCAAAAGCAATATACAGACTCAATGCTATTCCAATAAAAATCTCAATGACATTCTTCAAAGAAATAGAACAAACACTGATGAAGTTCATATGGAACCACAAAAAACCACGAATAGCCAAAGCCCTACTGATGAAAATAAAGGAGAAAGGAGGTTATCACACTTCCAAACTTCCAGCTATACTACAAAGCCATAATAATTAAAACAGTTTGGTATTGAAACAAAAACAGACACACAGACCAATGGAACCAGATAGAGAGCCAAGAAATAAAGCCATACTTATATGAACAACTAAACTTTGACAGAGGAGCAGAGCAAAGAATATGCAATGGAACATGGACAGTTTGTTTAATAAATGGTGCTGGGAAAACTGGACCTCCACATGCAAAAAAATGAAACTAGACCACTACCTCTCACCATGCACAAAAATCAACTCAAAATGGATAAAAGAACTGGACATAAGACCTGAAACTATAAAATATATAGAAGAAAATATAGGTAAAACACTACAAGACACACATCTCAAAAACATCTTTAAAGACTCATCCTCCAGAGCACTGACAGTGACAGTGAAGGCAAAGATAAACACCTGGGATCACATCAAACTGAAAAGCTTCTGCACAGCAAAAGAGACATTACCCAAAACAGAGAGACATCCCACTAATTGGGAAAAAAAATCTTTGCACTCCATTCAACTGATAAGGGACCGATCACAAAGATACACAAAGAACTCACAGGACTCAACAAAAACAACATAAACAATCCAGTCAAGAAATGGGCAGAAGAACTTAAAAGACATTTCTCCAAAGAGGAAATGCAAATGGCCAACAGGCATATGAAAAAATGTTCAACATCCCTTATAATCAGAGAAATACAAATCAAAACCACGTGGAGGGCCTCCCCTGGTGGCGCAGGCGGTTGAGCACTGCGCTGTGAAGCTGTCCACAGCTTCTGCAGTGCCAGTTCGATCCCAGCCGGCCAGCGAGGGTCTCACATAGCACCACAGACCTCTCCTGTCGTGCCCACTGTTCCCCTCAGCAGTGTATTTCGTCAGTCTGCCTGTTCTGTTCCCCGCTCTGTCTCTGGTGAATCCTCTCACCCTCCCGCAGATCTGGCCTGTACCACGGTTCTTGTGTAAATAAATAAATAAATCTTAAAAAAAAAAAAAACCACTGAGATACCACCTTACACCAGTAAGAATGGCACATATCAAAAAAACAAGCAACAACAAATGTTGGCGAGGATGTGGTGAAAAAGGAACTCTCCTATATTGCTAGTGGGAGTGCAAACTGGTCCAACCACTATGGAAAGCTGTCTGGAGGTTCCTCAGTCTACTAAAAATGGAGCTACCATACGACCCAGCAATTCCACTCCTAGGGATCTACCCAAAGGACACAAAAACATTGATTTAAAAGAACACCTGTACACATGTGTTTATTGCAGCACTATTTACAATAGGTAAAACCTGGAAACAACCCAAATGCCAAAAAATAGATGACTGGATCAAGAAGATGTGGTATATATACACAATGGAATATTATTCAGCAATCAAAAAAGATAAACTCATGCCATTTGCAGCAACATGGATGGAGCAGAAGGAATTATTCTCAGTGAAATAAGCCAGAAGGAAAAAGAAAAATATAGGATGGTTTGATTTATAAGAGAGAATATAGGGGAAACAAATAAGACATTAATGTAAAAAGAAAATAGTAACAGTACAAAACACAACAAAGCAAAACCAGACAATTACAAACCAGAGACATACTGCAGGGGAGGAGGAGGGAGAGGGGGGAGAGGGATGAAGGGAGGGGCACAGACGACTGTGGTGATGGTGTATAGGTGCCTTGGGGAAGGAAATTCTATGGGGACTCAATCTGAGGGGGTGGGGGGAAGCAAATATTGTTTAAAAATAAAAACAATAAGGGCCTCCCCTGGTGGCGCAGCAGTTGAGCACTGGGTTGCAAGGCTGCCCGCAGCCTCTGCAGCACCAGTTCAATCCCCAGCCAACGGCGAGGGTCCCACACACACAAAAAAATAATAATAATAATAATAATTAAATAAATAAATTAAATAATGAAAAGGTAAAACTAAATAAATAAAAAGAACCTTTATAAACATGATTTCCAAAGAGTACATACTAGTCCATTCTCAAGACACTTTATATGCCCATCCCATCATTTTTCTACATATGTCTGCACATGTATCTATCTAGGTTAGTATCACTTTCCAGAACATGACAAGTGAAAATATAATGAGATTTAAAGTTTTAACATTAATATGTCAATTGGATTCATCAGTTTAAGCCCTAACTGCTTTTTAGAAAAAGAGAGTGATTTCAGTGTTCCTAATACATAAAGTAATACTTCAAAAAACAAAGGTGCAGGCTCAATCCTTAGCTCCAAGAAGTCAGATAAGAGATTAGAATAGGTACTGAAGTTGTTCTCTACTAAATGGAAGTAGAATTTGTAAGAGTTGGTTTTATTGACTTAAAGTAATGCTACTTCCCAAAAGGATCATGCTTCTTCCTCATTTGAGCTCTCAGAAAGTCATTTACCATCTGCTCTAAGGGGGAAATTTATAAATCACCATCTTTTCTGTTTTTTTTTAAAAGATTTATTTATTTATGCATACAAGAACTGGGGTACAGGCCAGAACTGTGAGGGGGTGAGAGTATTCACCAGAGACAAGAGTGGGGAACAGAACAGGCAGATCTACTGAAATACACTGCTGAGGGGAGCAGCGGGGCGAATTAGGAGAGGTCCACTGCACCATGTGGGTTGCTCCCTGGCCAGGGATCGAACTCATACTGCAGTGGCTGTGGATAGCTTCACAGGTGGCGTCTTAACCCCTTGCTTCACCAGGGAGGCCCAAACCACACATCTCTTCTACCCCCTTCCTCTTTGATCAAGATAGCAGGTAGTGAAAGTCTATACCAGCAATATAACAATACAACTTCAGCTGAAGACACTTCTTCCACAGACCAGGATTAAGTAGGCCTATAACAGTACCAGCGTCCTCTGCTGGCCATTACATTGGTTTGTCTGGATGAGTGTCCAATCAGTCCTCAAAGCTCTTACCACTCAACTGCACTTGGAATGGCAGTTGAATGAACTTTAAATGATCTTGCCTCTGAATAGCAAAACCCTAAAGGAGATGTGCTATGAGACAGAAGGCATCAATAAAAGCTGTTTTTTTGACTAAATACTCCAGTTTTTGCAAAATAAAAACTAAAAGGATTAAATTTAATAGCACAATTACAAAGAAATTAATGACATTAAGAGTTGACATCAGGGCCTCCCCTGGTGGCGCAGCAGTTGAGCGCTGGGTTGCGAAGCTGCCTGCAGCCTCTGCAGTGCCAGTTCGATCCCGGGCCACCGGCAAGGGTCCCACATGGCACGCAGACTTCTCCTGCCACCCACTGCTCCCCTCAGCGGTGTATGTCGTCGGTCTGCCTGTCTGTTCCCCGCTCTGGTTCTGGTGAATTCTCTCGCCCTCCTGCGCTTCTGACTGTACCCAGTGCTTGTATAAATAAATAAATAAATCTTTAAAAAAAAAAAAAAGAGTTGACATCATTGAAAGCTGGAGATCAATATGTATAATGAGAATCTGTCATCACAGTGCAAATGTGTTACCTGGAACACAAGTCAATGTAAGAAATGTCATATTGTTTTTTTTTTAATGTATTGCTTTACGTAAAGATACAATTTAACCCAAAGAAAACTAGACTATAAGGAATTTGCTATCTTTTTAAAAAAGAACGCTGTTCAGGTCTTGGATTTCTTGGAAAGGTTACCTGGAACATATGAAAGGCCAGCTTTTCATTGTACTCCCACTGCCTGATGGCTTGCTCCACATCTGGAGGCACAGGAATAGGGCCGTCACCTGTGCTGGAAGCCATGTGGTAAAAGTCAGAAATCTTTGCCAGCTGCTCTCGAAGATATCTGGTAGATATTTGTGTCCACTCTGCATTGAAAAAAACAAAAACAAAAAACAAAAAAAAAAATTTGCATTTCTGGGCAATGACGGGTGGAAGAATTAACTTTCTGTCCCCCTCTCTGATTATTGTAAAGATGTGCTAATAGAACAAACATCTACTACATAAAAATGGCTTTTGCATGCAGTTTAGAAGAGCATGCCCACCCCGAAGCCCTCAGTACTTACTGCATAACACTAGAGTGACATGGACTGCCCTGCACAGCCACAAGAAACACTAGCCAGGTCTTGGTTAGATCAATTGGCCCTGCCCTTATGCCTCTGTGACTCTTAAAATGGGAGGTGGAAATGCCACATAAGAATTAGTGCATTAATTAGCATCTGGGGATGCTGCCTGTCAAACAACCCTCTGTATTAAACAACAGAGTGCATAACAAAACTATCAAAGGCACAAGCAGGAAATGGAATGATGGAGGTGAGTCCTTCAAGAAATCTCAAGTCTATACCAAAAGAATTTATAATCCCCCAAACACAACCATCTTATGGTATGTTTTCAGGCCCCAAATCATGTTTTAAACATGCCTAATTAAGAGATGCTATGACAGCCCTCCCTCGTGGCCTAGGGGTTAAGCTCCGTGTTATCACCTTCACAGCCTGAGTTCATCCCTGGCCAGGGAGCTAACCCATATATGGCCCAGCAGACCTCTCCTCTCTTGCCTGCTGCTCCCCTTTGCAGTGCATTTCAGCCTGTTTTGCTCCCCACTCTGTCTCTGGTGAATCTTCTCACTCCACCACCCCACACCTCTGGCCTATACCCCAGTTCTTCTATGCAAAAAAGGGGGGAAAAAGAGGTGCTACAATGCATGGCATTCAATGCCACCTGGCCCCTGGTGTCCTCCACTCCCCCCAAGGATTTGGCAGGGATACTAGTGGCTGCCCTCTGGACAACCAACTGGACCTTCAATGTTCTTACTCTCCTCAACCAAAACAAGACACCTCAGAACCTTTTCACAAGAGTAGTGAGCAACAAAAGGTAGGAAACTGGGAAGGAACTGGAAAAATAAGATTTTAAATATCACTAAAATTCAAAAATGCCTTCCACAGGGGCACAAATTAAATCAGTGTGTTGCCTCTGGCAACCATGAGGGATATGATGCCAACTTTAGCCCATTCTGTGGATAAAAAATGTAATAATTGCATGCTCACAGCCAAATTTCCCCAAGGATTAGCAAAACAGCATTTCAGAAGAAACCATCCTACTGAATCATTACCACATAATGCCATTTTCCCATTAATTCAGCAATGGGTCCTCCCACCTCCTTATTTTTAAAGGAAGCTATTTTGACAAAAGTAAGAGTAAAAACTAAACATGTGTTAGGAATTGAGTGCTTTGTTTTTATTTTTTAAGTACTGTTAAAAAACACTTGACAACAGTACCTAGAGATAACTACTGTTAAGTTTTGCTCTAAACCACTTCTTTTAATTTTGTCTTATTTAAAATTAAAATTAAAATGCATGTGTTCAACTCCAGGAATAAGTCACTGCAAAAAGATGAACAAATACTAGGTCAACATTCTGTGCATAGTATAACAGTTTTTCAGAAAACACCACCAATAATCATTATCATAAAAATTAACTCACTGACATTAAAAATAAAACAGTAGATTATCAATGTTATCTGGAGCCCCTGTTATGGGCTACAGAGTCACGACATTCATTTGTTCAATCAGAATGCCAACCATTGAATGAGATGAGCTTAGCTTAGCTATAATAAGCAAAACCAAAAATTACAAGGATCCAAATCCTAGCTTTTTGTGACAAGCTTGTTATTAACTCACTGTCAGTATGGTACTATTCTCATTATCTCCCCACAGAATATTTTAGCCTCAAGAGATAAAAATAACATATTCACACAACCCTCCTCTGTGTAGGGTATATTTTCTTTATCAGACTATTTTTGAAAATACAGAATATATGTTCAATGTAGAAAATTTATAATGTAGATACGAAAACAGAAGGAAAAAAATGGAATTCTGTCTCTAGTAGTCACCAGATATTTTGAAACATCTTTTCAGTCTTTTTTTTCCTCTATGTATGCTTCAATTGTTCATATAAACATGTCTTTAAAAGATAAATAGCTGGGCCTTCCCGGTGGCACAGCGGTTGAGCGCTGGGTTGCGAAGCTGCCTGCGGCCTCTGCGGCGCCGGTTCGATCCCCGGCTGCTCCCCGGCCACAGGAGGAGGGTCCCACATGGCGTGCAGACCTCTCCTGCCGCCCGCTGCTCCCCTCAGCAGTGTACTTCGGTCCTTCTGCCTGCTCTGCTCCCGGCTCTGGCTCTGGTGAATTCTCTCACCCTCCCGCGCTTCTGACTGTACCCAGTGCATGTATAAACAAAACAAACAAACAAACAAATAAATAAAATAAAATAAAACATGCCTCTATAAAAAAATAAATAAATAAAAGATAAAAAGCTGACTACACCATTTCACAATATGGAATCCTTTTAGAACCTAAGTGGAACCTAAATGTAGCTCTCCCAATAGTCTATTTTAACTTTTAATGGTATTTAACTGACATTAAGTTATCCTATCAATCAGATAGACTCAGAGATCTGGGAAAGTAGATCAGTAAAAACAATTAAGATGCATATAAAAATGTTTTTAAACAATTGAAAACAGAAAATAAATGGCCAATAGTATTACGATTATTAGGATTCACTGGCACCACTCAGGCTCAGGATTGGTGATTACAGGGAGCAATGTAGGAAGCAGTAGCCAGACAGGTCCTCAACCTGAGGCATAGTGAGTCCAAAGGGACACGCTCAACAAATGCCAAGCCTTGGGCCCCAACCACCATGTTCTCGATTAGTTGGTCTAAAATAGGGGCCAGTGTGGGGGGACAAAAAAAAAAAAAAAAAAAGATGGCTAGGGAAGAATCAAAAGTAGAAAATATGCAGAGAGTGACCAAAGAGGCTACTCTGAAAGTGGAGCAGTTCTAAATTCAAACAACTCAGAGGTTATGACCATGCTGGCTGGCAGCATCCTGACGCTGAGAAGCACTTAAGGGCCATGAAGCCTATTTCATAAAGTTCATGAACGCTGACTGTAACTGCAAGTAACACCAGGGATCAGAATTGAAAAGAATTTAGACAATGCTCTCCCAAATGCCCAAGAATCCCTGAACCACCATTCCTTCTGTGTTAATGCCCAACCCCCTAAGTAGAAGGGGTTCCAGAGGTCATGCATTTCACACCATATTTTTCAGATGCAGGCACTGTATGTTTACTAAAGGTCACACAGATAAAGCAATGAACAAAAAAGATGTAAAAATACTATGTAAATTAATAAGCATGATGGGCAAGAGCACTGCTATGCCAGTTATGTTAAGTTCCTAGGCCTGGATTACCTGCCACATTGAAAAGACAACTGGGAATTCAGTGAAGTAGAAACAGACGGCCTGGCAGCAAATAAAGAACATGCTAAAAGCAGCCAGGCTTCCAGAAAAGGTGGCCTGACAGTGAGGTCAGCAGGTAACACAGGCAGCATTTGCTGGTATTGGCAAAATAAGCTTAAAATAGATGGACCCTGGGTTCGAATCCCAGCCCTGCTGCTCAGTCACGTGACCTAGTGCAAGAAAGCTAGCCTTGGCTAAATCTGTGTCTTTATCTGTACAAGAGGGATTAACAAGATATATGTCAGAATTAGGTGGATGCAGAAATGATTAGCAAGTGGCAACTAGCATCAACATTAGTGTGATGAAAACATTTTAGAAAAGAAACTAACAGACCTTGACTGTCAAAACAGACCTCTGTCACCGATGTGAGACCCTGCCTGTGCCTCCGCTGAGCTGCCAGTACCTCATACAGTGTTCTGGAAATGTATTTGTGGAATCATTAAATGTCAGTATTGTGGTTCAAAAACCATCAATGGATCCACAATCCTTATGAATTAAGGCCAAACTCCTCAGTTAGGAATTAAAACAACTTCAAATACTTTCTATCACCACAGCTCTGCTAGCTCAAGCAGCTTTCCCTCTAACTCAGAAGCTATGACGCTCTCTCCACCTACAATACTTTCTCTGCTCACCTATACTTAAGGTGGAAATTGTTAAGGACACAATTAAAATATGACATCAAATGTCACTAGCCCACTCTAGTCTCTGGACCCCACCCCACCACCTAGAGGGGATCTCCCTCTCTTCTCTGACTTAGAATTTTCTCCACTTCCTCCATTCCCATAATACTGTAACTCTCAATTTCTAAGTAGTGACTTGAATCAACCCTCCAGAGTTCTCCCAAAGTAACTACTATATAAAGTACTTCCCCAATTACTCTGACTCTCAAATCTTCACATAGACACTTCACTTTATTGGTTAAGCTCATCACTAGAATGTTTCAAATTCCACTATAGGGAAAATTCCAAATTCCTGCACTACAACACTCAGAATTTATTACAACCAATACCACTATGAGCATCGGCTCATCAACATGCCACAAAAAGCCCATCCTGATACTGAATTTATCATTCCTTTCAATAAGTTTACAGTAAAAACAAATATACATCATTTAATTTTATGTAGGCTCATTTCCCAAGCTACATTCTTTCCTTTAATCACCCACTATGCAAAATAAATGCAAAAGAAATATGTATTTTTTTAAATTCCCACCAAGTCCAGAGACTAGGCACATATGTTTCAGGTGGGATGCTTGATACAGACTTTAAATCAAAGGTAATGGGCTCCTTGATGGAACAATCTGTACCCTCATAAATTCTTCCTGAGGCAACAATAAAAAGTTCTTGCCTCTCCTCTGGAACAGCATGGCTCTCAAATCTGCAGGATGTAGTAGATTTAACCAGCCTGACTTTCAAGCAGACTCAATAGGGAAAAAACTTCCAGTACAAAGATGATGTTTCACATTTAATTTCTGAACACTCAATAAGAAAGACTGAAAGATTTTCCACCATAAATGACTTTTATCATTTTTCTGTTGTTAAAAATCTTTGATTGAAGGCGTGAACAGATACTGATA